ATATGGCTCCAGAATCCTTAATACAGCATACTGGTCAACTGCTACTGAATGAGCAGAGTTGGCATGTAATGCTCCGTTGCTAATTTTGCTCTCAAAATAGGATCCTTTCTTTACTTGGGATAGTAAGGGCTCTCCGTAATGAACATAAGAGGAAGAATAAGTTAACTTCACATGACAGAACTTTCCTAACTTTCTGGTGATGGGGAGGAGACATCCTGGGCTCACTTGGGCAGATTGATCTAAAGGCATTAAGATGTCATTCCCTGGCTTAGAAGACTTCATGGACACTGTATGGCCATGTTTTCTTTTGCAAGGAGTTTGAACTTCTGGGGTGTGGGGCACCATCCTGAGTCTGTATATTGGAACCAAAGGTGTTCAAGGCAAGAGCCTGATCTTCAGCAGTGTTCATTGTGGGAAGCTGCTGCATCTAGGAGAGATCCTGGCCGGGTGGTAGCCGGGGCAGGGGTGCAGAGACCTATGGATCACTTAGGGCAAATCTCTTCCTCCCCACCCTCTGATTTCTCACCTGCAAGGTTAGGAGATTGAGTTACATCAGTGGTTCTCAGTAGGATGCTATTATTCCCAGGCACTTCCTGGAAATGTGTGGGCACATTTTTTATTCTCAGGATGACTGGTGGGTTGCCGCTGGCACCGAGTGGGTGGCACCAGGGATGCTAGGTATCTTCCTATGGGCAGCACAGCTTCATTCAACAAAGAATTTTCTTGTGACCTGTGTGATTTCTAAATGCCACACAGAATATTTGTGTGATGAAAATCCTGTTTATAATGAACTGAATAGACAACCTAATTGTTTTACATGTAAAGTCAAAGCATTTTTTTTTTTTTGGCATGGGTTTAAAACCTGTTGAATTTTCCAGGAATGCAATTACCATGAGAGCTGAGACTGCATTAACCATTAGGAAGGAGACATTTGTATCACATTTTAAACAAGGAGCCTGGCTGGTGTGGCTCAGTTGGTTGAGGGTGGTCCCATGCACCAGGAGGTTGCCAGTTCGATTCCTGGTTGGGGCACCCGCCTGTGTTTCCAGCTCAATCCCCCGTAGTGGGTGTGTAGGAAGCAGCTGATTGATGTTTTTCTCTCATCGATGTTTCTATCCCTCTCTCTGAAATCAATATAAACATATTTTTAAAAATTTTAAACAAAAAAAAACCACTGGAATGAAATAGACTGTTATTGATAAAATTAATGAACTTTGACCTAGAAAAGTAGATTGGATTTGTCTGGGGTTCTAAAACAGACATGGCAAATATCTGGCATAGGGCTGCCAGCCCCTACCATGGCCAATGCAGATTCCACAAATTGATCACTGCATCCTTGTGGGTTGAGCTGGGATATGGCTCCAGAATCCTTAATACAGCATACTGGTCAACTGCTACTGAATGAGCAGAGTTGGCATGTAATGCTCCATTGCTAATTTTGCTCTCAAAATAGGATCCTTTCTTTACTTGGGATAGTAAGGGCTCTCCGTAATGAACATAAGAGGAAGAATAAGTTAACTTCACATGACAGAACTTTCCTAACTTTCTGGTGATGGGGAGGAGACATCTTGGGCTCACTTGGGCAGATTGATCTAAAGGCATTAAGATGTCATTCCCTGGCTTAGAAGACTTCATGGACACTGTATGGCCATGTTTTCTTTTGCAAGGAGTTTGAACTTCTGGGGTGTGGGGCACCATCCTGAGTCTGTATATTGGAACCAAAGGTGTTCAAGGCAAGAGCCTGATCTTCAGCAGTGTTCATTGTGGGAAGCTGCTGCATCTAGGAGAGATCCTGGCCGGGTGGTAGCCGGGGCAGGGGTGCAGAGACCTATGGATCACTTAGGGCAAATCTCTTCCTCCCCACCCTCTGATTTCTCACCTGCAAGGTTAGGAGATGGAGTTACATCAGTGGTTCTCAGTAGGATGCTATTATCCCCAGGCACTTCCTGGAAATGTGTGGGCACATTTTTTATTCTCAGGATGACTGGTGGGTTGCCGCTGGCACCGAGTGGGTGGCACCAGGGATGCTAGGTATCTTCCTATGGGCAGCACAGCTTCATTCAACAAAGAATTTTCTTGTGACCTGTGTGATTTCTAAATGCCACACAGAATATTTGTGTGATGAAAATCCTGTTTATAATGAACTGAATAGACAACCTAATTGTTTTACATGTAAAGTCAAAGCATTTTTTTTTTTTTGGCATGGGTTTAAAACCTGTTGAATTTTCCAGGAATGCAATTACCATGAGAGCTGAGGGATGATTTGTTTCTTTAGGAATTATTGTTCACCATCCTGGGAAAGCACATAACCAATGGCAATAAAGAGTCCGCATTTGAATAGCCAGTGCAACCCACCTGGGTCAGTGTGACTTTTAAAAATTACAATATGTAGATAGATTCTAGTTTCTATGGATTTCATTTCAGGATGGGAAGGGGCAATACAAAATAGTTATTGTAAAGGGTATATTAGGTCTGGTTGGGCTAAAAACCACTGATCTGAAGATTCTCCAAAGAGCCCTGGTTGGTTGGCTCAATTGGTTGGAGTGTCATCTTGTGCACCAAAAGGTTGTAGGTTGATTCCTGGTCAGGGCTCAGTTCAAGGTTGCAGTTTCAATACTTGGTTGGGGTGTGTACAGGAGGCAACCAATCCACGTTTCTCTCTCACATCAATGTTCCTCCCTCCCTTCCTCCTTCTCTCGGTAAAAATAAATGGAAACATATCCTCAGGTGAGGATTAAAGAAAAGGATTCTACAAAGACCTTTCTTTAGCTCTAACACTGTCTGAGTCTGTGCGAGTAGGAAAGAGATTCACATGGCATGAAGAGCAGCAGTAGAAATGGATCAAGACAAATTGATGTCCCCAAGTTGAGCAGAGCCACTGCTGAGAGCAGGAGGCAACCAATCCACGTTTCTCTCTCACATCAATGTTCCTCCCTCCCTTCCTCCTTCTCTCGGTAAAAATAAATGGAAACATATCCTCAGGTGAGGATTAAAGAAAAAGATTCTACAAAGACCTTTCTTTAGTTCTAACACTGTCTGAGTCTGTGAGAGTAGGAAAGAGATTCACATGGCATGGAGAGCAGCAGTAGAAATGGATCAAGACAAATCGATGTCCCCAAGTTGAGCAGAGCCACTGCTGAGAGCGTCCACTGCTGCATCACCCTGGTTCCGTAGTGAAATCTTTGATTTTGGACTCCGTGTCCAAATGGGATTCGGATGAGAACCCCCTAGTTAGGCAGCTGCGTGAATCTTTTACTGTTGGTAACTCAATGTGTACCTACTGTATATGGAAGCTTTACTCACGGCTCCTTTCCTTCTATCCGTAATCCTTCCTCCTGCCCTATTTTCATGATGTAATTTTAGGAGAATTAAACTTGAACAGCCCCCAAATTATATAATTAATTACATTCAGTTTCAATTACAATCACTAATTGATCTAAGCCTGCTAGCACAACACTTTCATTATTTGGCACACAATTATTGAGCGCCTACTTTGTGCTGGGAATAAAGTAGGAAATGGTCAATTTCTACCAAGGAGGGAGGATGAGGGGATAGTGTTTGTAGTTGTCAAGGATTTGGTGGGGGAAGTGGCAGGTGAGTAAGCGCCGCTGCCCTTCTAGTTTACCTGTGAATGACTGTGTGCTCAAAATCTCACATGGCCGCACTCTGGCATCGGGCAGGCTGGTTTTGGCACCAGATGTCACACATTGTACTCTAGGTCTCACTGGTTTTCTCTTTCTTTGACTGATGCATAATAATTAGTTTAGAAATTAATAGATACAATGAACACCTGCCATGTAAGGTGCTCTTAGTCACCTTATGTGTCCTCCTACTCCTAACCCTCTCTCAGGGCTCTTTCCTTTCTCTCTGTAATCAAAGGCCTTGCTACTCAAACTTGAATATGCATTCTTGTTACATGAAGAGTCCGAATTGCAGGCTGGGTGGGGCCTGGGATTCTGCATTCCCATCAAGCCCCCAGGTATCACTGCTGCTGCTGGTCTACAGACCACACTTTGAATAGCAAGGTGCTAGGTCCACTAGATCACCTTTCTTTCTGGTGCTGTCATTCCTTGAGGGGGAAGCCAAAGCAAAGTTATTCAGCTAACTTTAGGAGATCGTCTAGTCAGGACAACTACTGCTCAGTTGCGTTGGGGTTACATCCTCCCAGTCCTCTCAGTCCTCCCATGTTCTTTTATAGGGCCGGGTATGCTTTCTTACTTCTCCCGGTAGTGGTTGTATTAAGTGGCTCACCAAGTGAGTTCAGATGTAGTAATGAAGGTGAAATGTCCCTGAGGTTGGTTAGACATTTGTTAAATGATTTATTCATATAGTACCTCCTGTATATGGAAGCATCCTGTCCACCTAGGACAAGCATGTCAAACTCGCGGCCTATGGGCCGCATGCCTTGTTAGGATGAGCTGGGTCCTACAAAAAAATAAATAAATAAAATTTAAAAAAGGAGAGACAAAGGTAAACATGCCAGCAGTCACCCAGGTCCAAAAGCTGGGAATCAGCCTTTGCCCCTCCTTGACCTTCAGAGCAACCCCCATAGACTCTGCTTCCTCATATGTCCTGTATTCACCATCTCTGCCTCTCAACCAACACCATCCTGGTTCAAATCTTGTCCCCTCACTGTTTCCCTTGCCTCCCATCTTGTTTAAAACCAGTTTGAAAGTCAACTGGCCTGAAGTCACATTGCCAAAAAACCCTTTTGCCTAAGGATCAATTCTCCTAAAGACCAGTTTGTTACTACTCTCTGTAGTGGGAAAGGTAGGCCTGGATTATCAGGTGACCAGAACCCTGTGTAAAGCATCCTGTCTTCGCTCTGTTCCAGGGACGCTAAGGACCAGCAGAGCCCTGGCGTCAAGGTGGTTGAATGTCCATTTTCCCAGGGATGCAGGCAGGATGGTCCATTTGGGAGCTTGACTCAGACCCCTCGGAACCAGTGGCCAAAATGGAAAGGACCTGCTCCCAGAGTGCCTCCACCTCGTCTCCTTCCTCGTTTGCCTCTGCTGTTTCCTTGTTCCCTGCAGGTTCTCAGCTTCCAGGAACACGGATGTAGCTGCTGGGCAATCAAAGGAAAGCAGTGTTGGCGATTGGGCTGTTTCTCAGAGAGGAAAGGGGGAGAGCTGCAATCACATCTGTTGTCATCGCAATGGGTCTGATGACAGCTCATCAGGCTGAGAATCACGGAGGTGGGACCCTTTCTCCTCCGACCTGTCCTTTCCTGCTCACACTCTGCCACACAGACAGAGCACTTTTCTGCTTTTGTGCACCTCAGCCTCCGCCTGCCTCCCCCTGTTTGCCCCCACTTCAGACTCAGCCCATTCAGCCAGGAGGGAGAGGTTTCATCAAAGTCATTTCTCCCCTCTCCCCTGAGTCCTGAGGGTTTCTGTGGGGACAGGACATCCAGAGGGGCCATCCTGCCTTGGATGTTGTCTAGCTGTGTGGGCATCTACTGGGCTGAACTGGTCCATGGTCAGTTTCAGCCCTGCTTACCTTTCTTGGAGTCCGTGACCAAGTCTGCCTGCTGCCTTTCTGTGTCCACCTGTCAGGGAGGGCAGCTGTGTGGTGACTTCTGTGCAGCAGTCACAGGAGGCTACTCCTAAACCGTGCTAGGACACAGGGCCTCAGAGGTCGTAAACTAGAAATGGTTATTTTCTGGGACCTTGTCTCCAGCCCAGAGGGGTTCTTCCAGGGAAATGGTCATAGGTGTCCTGTGACGTCACACCCCTCTGGACTCCTGAGACTTAAAATAGGTGCAAAGAAAGGGAATCCGGTGATGTCTCAGCTTTCATAGTTACCCCTGACTCTTTCCCCTCCCACCAGGCTGGAGGTATATATATTTTTTAAATTGGGGTTGGGTTGGGGGAAGTGGTGGAGAAGAAAGGGAATCCGGTGATGTCTCAGCTTTCATAGTTTCCCCTGACTCCCCTCCCACCAGGCTGGAGGTATATATATATTTTAAATTGGGGTTGGGTTGGGGGAAGTGGTGGAAGGAGTCTGGGTCTTATTCCTAATGTTTGCTTAAGTTTTGAATCTATTCCATTCATTCCCTGAATAGTTAGCTTTTTGAAATCAAAAGTCAGCAAGTAGGTGCTCAGTAAATACTTGCTGAATGAACGATAGTCCATATTTTCAATTATAATCCAAAAATAGTGGGGCCATATTTTAAATCACGTGCTCTCCATGGTGGAAGGAGTCTGGGTCTTATTCCTAATGTTTGCTTAAGTTTTGAATCTATTCCATTCATTCCCTGAATAGTTAGCTTTTTGAAATCAAAAGTCAGCAAGTAGGTGCTCAGTAAATACTTGCTGAATGAACGATAGTCCATATTTTCAATTATAATCCAAAAATAGTGGGGCCATATTTTAAATCTCGCGCTCTCGTGCTCTCCCATTCCCTCCCTCCCACTGCCTGACACTAAATGCTTGGTTACTCAAGGCCGCAGTTACAGGATGTTAAGGAACAGCACCCTTTTTTCTCCAAGACTGACAAAATGGAAGAGAACATCAGGTGAGGTAGCTGCTACGCATACGTTGAATAGTATGAGTTCAGTACTATTACTATTCCTCATTTACAGACAACTACATGAATAGAGAGGGTGTAAGAATTTGCCCAGGGCCATTCGGCAACGCTGGCGTCAGAAGCCAGGCTTTCGTTTTCATGTTTTCACTGCTGCGCTGTAACTGCTTTGATAAGAGCCGATCAAGACTGTCCCAAAGTGATAGAGGATCCCATCTCCAGTGCACTCCATGCTCACCACCAAATACAGGAAGGGCACACTTAGAGTGCAGCCAAGTAAATGAGGGGGCTCCTAAGGGGGCTGAAACGCCCTACCAGAAAGCGCTCCAGACGGAGGGCAGGAGGCATGGGTTCTCATCCTGCCTTCGCCACTAACTTCAGGAGCCTTGGGCGAGTTGCTGCTCACTCTGGACACCCCCTTCCTCATTGTGTAGAGAGGGAGCCGGCTCCCATAACCTCACAAATTCTTCCTCCTTGGAAATTCCAGTCTACAATCAAGGCACCACCTCCACTAACACCAGAGATTAGCACATACCTGTTACACCAAGTACAAGGCCTTAGGGAAACATCAACAAATAACTGGTGCCTGCTGGGCAGACTTTCTCTGATGGTTACTAGGAACTAGGGACTTGTATGGAGTCACTGAAATGTTGTCCCTATAGGTTGGTGCATTTTCTTCTTCTGCCACCTATCTCTTGTTCCTTTTGCTCTGAGCCAGCATTCAGCTGTTCAGGGTTCTCTATCTGGTGGAGTGCCCCAAGCCTTCCTTCCCAAAGGATGTGCTCTCTTGGTGGTCCAGCCTGTGTTAGGTTACTGTGCTAGGTTTTCCACCAACTTTTAAAATGGTGCTAGTAGGCATCCTTTGGGTTGCAGACAAATGCCTTTCAGGGCCCCACTGAGTAGTATCGGTCTTATTTTCCCTTAACAAATCACTCAGAACTGAGTTAAAGTCAGAACAACTTTTGTGAGGTTCCAGATGGGAACGTAGCCTGCCGACACCTTGATTTTATTTTTGTGATATCCTGAGCAGAGAATCTAGCAAGGCCACGCCTGACTTCTGGCCTACGGAGCTGTGAGCTAATAAGTAGGTGTTGCTTTAAGCTGCCCAGTTCCTAGTAATTTATTGCACGGGATAGAAAATATACACATTCAGAGATAAGAAAGCTGCAGAAACCCAGTGTTCAAAATCAGTATTATTAAGAGTGGGACAACTAGATATTATGCACATGCAGATGTGATAGGAAATTCAGTAGGAAGTTCATGGCATCACTTTAAAGTATTTTGACCTATCATCTTAATCTGAATCAGACCAAGCTGTTAGATTACATGACTTGTTTGCATTTTGCAATTGTCAAAATGCATAAAATGTAAAAAGGATGGTGTTTACTATATATAAATTATACTTGAATAAATCTTGCTTAAAAAAAACAAGCTTTTAGATCTACCTCATTTTGCAGGAAATAATAGTGATAATTAAATGACAGCATAAGGAAATAGACATGTTTAGAATGTGGGCCAGTCTACATGACAGCTGGCCGGGTCTCTTCAGAGTCAATGTCAGGAGGGGGACTAGATAAGACAAGACTTAAGAAGCATTATAAATTAATTGCATGAAAATTACTGGATTCTGATTTCAAAGAAATGGTTCTAAAATAGAATTTTAGGATAATTATAGAAATTGGAAGTGAGTTTTAGGTGATATTAGGGATTACTGCTATTATTGTTAGGTATGATATTGGTACTATTATTAATTGGAGAAATATCCCTGCTCTTTGGAAATACATGTTGCAATATTTATGGGTGAAGTGTCATGATGTTTTAAATTTACTGTGGAATGGTTCAGTGATGAGGCAAAAAATGGCACAGTTATTAATGATGGTTGAAACTAGATGGATGGTTCTTGGGTGTTCATTGCACGCTTTTCTTTCCTGCATGTTTGAAATTAGGGTGGAAATTACATGGAAGCAAAGAAACAAAAAAATAGGAGACAGCTGCTGCTGACCCACATAGCTGCCCTCCACTGCCCATAGCCCCAAGGTGGGTGATGGACTGTAGAATATGGAGCCTAATGACCAATGCAAAAACTCATGCCCCAGCAACTGCCACTGGCAAAGAAGAGGGCTGCCGTCTCTCTCCCACCTTCCCAATCCTGCATGTGTGCTTGACCAGACTGCATCCAGAACCCTGCAGGCCAGGGACATTATACCACGCAGGTAATGGAGTTAAGCATCTCCCAACACCCTGGGACGCCCTAGTAATGTGTTCACATGGTCATGTGCTCTTGTAACCATCTTTGCAGAAGTAAGATATTTCAATTGCAGATCTTAAGGCTGCTGTCTATTTCTACTCTGATTTTCCCTGGGTCACACTTTCCCCCGTATGGGATGGTATTAGAATGGCCATGGGAATTTTTGGGATCCAGCTAGGAGGAAGTTGGACTGGGGATGCATTTAGTTGGTGTTTAGCGGGATATGCGTCTGAGGTTTGCAGTCATTTGCTAGTTGTCCTGTGGCAGGAATGGCTTGATAAATACTGCTCCCTGTGTCAGCTCCCCTGGGTGCAGGGCCAGAGGTAAAAGTATAATGCGATTGTGTCCTGTGCCCAGCACAAGAAATATTTAGTAGTGGAGGAGAAAAAAGTTTAAAATGTACAGTGCCAGAAGCTGGTCTGTGTAATGTTCTTCCACTTACCAGATGTATAAAATTATAAGTGGAAAATTTGGCACTCAATGATGCCTGGTAAAATGGAAGCTTTCTGTTATCAGAAAAATGCTTAATAACTTAGCTTCTACATTTATAAACACACCAAATACTTTTCTGATGGGCATTATGAATCACAGAGTTTATCAGAATTCCTGCAGTTATAGGGCAAAACCTGTAGTAGAACTACACATAGTATCTCTCACATGTTTTATACATATCAACTATCAATAATATAAATAAATTTTAATGAGCGATGCTACAGGAAAAATTCAATTTTCTTTTTATCCTTCTGAAGATATATAAATCTTGTTCTATCAAAGGTAAAAAAAAAGTAGGGAAAAAACCCATTATAAAGATATGTTGGGCAATTGAATAATTATGTTATTTTTCTCAGATTTTGTAATGTTAGTATTATTTCAGCATTAAAAACTTTATAATATATTATGTTTTCTTTCTCATTCTAAATAGGTATTTGTAATTTTGTATTATTTTACTTAAAGAAGGCCTCCACAATGATATAAGCTTTGGGCAGAGGATGGCAGAGCCAAAGATAGAATTCTGTTCCTTTGTGATACTTGTAAGCCCTTGGCTGCTCTGGATGGCCCACCATCAGTCTCTTTTTATTTGAGGGAGAAACAAATCTCTATCTTGTTTAAATGACTGTTCTTTTGGCTTTTCTGTTATGAGCAAACAAACAGAATCTTGACTGATATGCCCTTTGACTCAACAGTTCTACTTCCAGGAATCTTTCCTACAGGTATACTGGAACAGATGCAAAATGACAGATGGTTGGGGTCATTAATGGCAGCAAAGGATGGGGAACAACCTATATGTCTATCAGTGGAGACTGGTCAAATAAATTATGTGTATCCATACAGTGAAATAGTGAACATCGAGTATTAGGAGGAAGCTCGTCATAGCAATATGTAATTATCTGAGATATATTGTTAATAGAAAAAAGGAAGTGCAGAGCAGTGTGAATACTGTGCTATTATTTGTGTAATCCATATTTGTAAATGTGTTTATATAAGTGTATATAAATACATATATTTATTTAATTCCTCAACTAAGTGGCTGAGAACAGGAATGAGGAATGTGCTCCTTTTGAATAGTCATGTGAACTTTAATCTATAGGGTGGGGCAAAAGTACATTTACATTTGTGAGTATGTGAAACATAGTGTTATTCTTGTACTATTTATTATTTATTGTGTTATTTTTCATACAAACAACTAAACCTACTTTTGCCCCACCCTGTATTTTAAAATAAGTAAAATTAAAACTAGAAAACATTTTTATATTTTAATGCCTATGTAACAAATATATTATTTAAAAAATCTCTTTTCAGATAAATAAAAAAAATTCCTTAAGTCACCCATAAGTAGAGATGCCATATGCCCGGCTTGCCCAGAATGGTCCCAATTTATGCTTCTTGTTCTGGTGTAATTATCACTATCACCTCATTTCACTCTCATTGGTGTCCTGGTTTGGATGATGAACTGTCTGGTCAACCCACCCACAAAGTGTATCCTAGCCCATAAGTTCAACCTGCCTGTGATGGAACTGAACCCACTTCTTTGGCTGATGACCACATGAAATAGTTGACTTGAGTTTAGGGACCTTGAGTGAAGAAAAATGTGTGTTTGTAATAATAAATGAATATCAGTGAGGTGGGCAATGATCAAACCACTCAAGGTAATGGGAAGTAAACAATCTGGAGATACACTAGCCTCACTTCAGTGGCTCATTGAGAGGAATGGTGGATGAACCACTGTGATATTTATCTGATCTCTCTCTCTCTCTCTCTCTCTCTCTCTCTCTCTCTCTCTCCCCTGTATAATTACATGCACAAATGTTACATGCACATACATCATAGCTTAACTCTATAGAACGTACCATGTTGTATTTACAACCTGCCTCTACCTCCTGAACTGTGAGCTCTTAGAGGACAAGGACCATGTCTGATTTCTCCCTGTGGCCTGCACATAAACTCTCTAAATGTTTGTTGAATGAATGAATGAGCTCTGTGGAGACCTACACTGATATCTGGTGCTCTCTTCTCCACAGATTATGGTTGTCAATCTTGAAGACTGCAATCTTTATGAAGGCAGGAACTAGATTTACTAAAATCAACACTAGGACCTCAAAGCAGAGCACTGATATATAGTAGGTACTAATCCATAACAATTTGATGAATGGATGAATGAATGGACGGATGAATGAATGTTTCAGTTTTTGGGTCAGTTACCTGAGGATCAGTTTCATATACTAATCATTGCCATTATGGACTGAATGTTCCTGTCCCCCTCCCCCCCCTAAAAAATTTTTTTTATATCTTGAAGCCCTAATCCCCAATGTGATGGTATTTAGAGATGGAGCCTTTCAGAGGTAATTAGGGTTATATAGGTCACGAGAATAGGGCCCTCATGTCAGGATTGGTGGCTTTATAAGAAGAGGAAGCTTGTACACACCAAGGAAAGCCATATGGACATAGCAAGAAGGTGGCCAACTACAAGACAGGAAGAGAGCTCTCAGAGGAATCCAATTTGCTGGCACCTTGATCTTGTATTTCTGACTCTAGGACTGTGAGCATCTGTTGTTTAAGCCACCCAGTCTATGGTATTTTGTATGGCAGCTGAGCAGACTAAGACAGGTGGCCTACCTGGCCCTGGCATGGGATGGGAGAGTTCTCTCACTGATGGAGGTGGAGTTCATGGAGGAGGCAGGGTTTGGAGATCTTGAATGAAGATGGGAAGCACCTTACAAGCTGTCAGCACTTCCTATGTGTCTTGGCAAAGTGCCCTTCTGTGCCTGCAGTTTCTTTAAAGCATTTTTCCCCAGCTGCTGCCCTCATTATGGATGATATTCCCATGCCAGGGAATATGTTCCCTGGGTATGCTCAGGTTTTGATAAAGTCTAAAAAATTGGGTGGGAGAAAGTACAGTGAAATAATTGGTAAATGGCACAATTACTAAGAATACACCAGTGCTGATGATTAACTTGGATTGTGCCGTATTTGAAATGTGTTGTGAGTTATGCAGGTACCATTGAGCCAGCTGTCACGTCATCCTGTCTTCTACTCAAGAACACAAATCAGATTCAAGTGACTGTGGTGTTATTTTAGGGGAGATATTGAATTTACTCTAGTTTTCTAAAAAGTAGCTAATTTACAAATTTTAGCATTCTCACTATTAATAGGAACAAATTACCTCACAACTGACTGAGACACTCTAAGGTAGAGAACAACTATTACTTTGTTTTAGTATTGCCTTCTCCATCACTTAAAATGGTAAATGTTCTTGAAGGATAACATGCTACCCCTTATCCACTTGTGTGCATGATGGAGTGGTGTCAGGTGTGATATGGAGTTGCGTGTGTGTGTGTGTGTGTGTGTGTGTGTGTGTGTGTGTACAGAGAGAGTTGGGGGAAATGGGGTAGTGCAGTTAGAAAAGGGGTGGGTGGAGGAGGGGACTGAGTGCTCCAAAGCCTCACAATTTTTGCTTTGGGCTCCACAGCAAACACCTCCACCCCAAATATCAACCATGATTGTATCTTTATTTTTTTATTTTTTATAGCAAAATTTCCTATAGCCAATTAGTTATGGGATGAAGATGTTTGTGGCAAAAATGCTTCTGGCAAAGATGCTGCTGTGAAAATACTGGACATGCCCTGAGATACCTTCCATCACTGACACTTTATGGCTGGAATATTGTGAAGGAGAATAAAATGGTTAGTTTTTGGTGGCTTGCCCTTTCTCATCTCACTGTTTCTCCCCCTTGCCACTGGCTCCGGGCTCAGGACATTCTTGCTGCTACCGGATGGTTTGCAGCCATCGCTAACCTTTTGGACCTCAGGGACCACCAGTGGTCTGCAGACCACTGGTTGGCGACCACTGGTTTAGGACTCCAAAATGGTCACCTTAGTCACCAGTACTGGTTATAGTGAAATTTTAAAAAAATATATTTTATTGATTTTCACAGAGAGGAAGGGAGAGGGATAGAGAGTTAGAAACATCGATGAGAGAGAAACATCGATCAGCTGCCTCCTGCACCCCCCCTACTGGGGATGTGCCTGCAACCAAGGTACATGCCCTTGACTGGAATCAAACCTGGAACCCTTGAGTCTGCAGGCCGACGCTCTCTCCACTGAACCAAACTGGTCAGGGTTATAGTGAAATTTTACTCCTTGTCTGCCTATCTCTGTCCACCCATGAGGTTGAATTTCTAATTTCTCCTCTTAGCTTTCACTCATGACAATGGTGCCATTTGGTCATTCATTCATTTATTCATTCACTAGGTACCAGGCACGGTGCTAAGGGCAGAGAATGTAGTGAGAGAGAAATGGAAATTGTCTTGTGCTTGTGGAGTGAGCATGATGGTGGAGGAGACAAATCTGATGACAGGTGTAATGAGAAAGGAACCAGATTGGTGAGGACAGTTACTGGGGGGAGTTAAGGGGAAGAAGGGTGGGATAGGTAAGATCTCTTTGAGGACCAGACTTTTGAGCTGAGGCTTAACTGGTGAGTATGAGGGAGAGAAAAGAAGCAAGTATTTGTGTGTGTGGTGGGGAGGGATTGTGAGGATGGGGGAGGGGGATGTCAGCTCCATGAGTGCAAGGATTTTTGACTCTTGTTTGCTGCTGTACCCCAGTGCCTCAAGTGATAGGTACTCAATGAGTAGTTATTGAAAGAAAGAATAAATTGAGCCACACAGGTAAAGTCCCTGTGGTATGAAAGGAGCTGAAAGAAAGCCAGGGTCCCTGCTGTTTTCAGAAGCTCTAAGCAGCAAGAGTTGAAATCAGAGAGTTGGTGAGGAGGCTCACCTAGTTTGCATTCTCCCAAAAAGCAGATGCTGAGACCAGGATCTGGGTGCAGGTAGTTTTAATTTGTGAAACTCAGAATTGGGAGAACTAAGAAAAGAGAGGAAAGTCAATACATAAAGCAGGGTTTAATGAATGGGGGTTGAATCCCATTGGGGACCTCTGAGTAATCTTGTGAAACAAGCCTGAGCATTGTCCTCCCAAGGGTTGGGGACTGGTATTCATCTGTGACTCATGCTCTCACTGGTTGCGAAGTATCCCTGGGAGCATTGAGTCCCTACCACTTCTGGGCTGCCCTGCTCTGCGTTGAGGAAGCTCTTAGGCAGAGGAGTCACTTGGGGTGGGAAGGGGCCATCTTCTCAGCCACCCTCTACCACTGCTGCAGGTGAACTCAGAGTAGGCTGGAGGGTCTGGCCGGGCATCAGCAGGGTCTGCTTCTGTGGCCATGCAGAGCTCCAGACAAGAGGGAATTGTGGTTTTGAGGACTTTGGCTGTGGAAGGTGATCAGCAGTAGAGTCAGAGCTCTTCCTCTCTTCCTCTCTCAGTCCCTCCCCTTTCATTCCACAAGTATGTATTGCTGTGGTCTGGCTTCCTGGGAAGCTGAGTTTATGGAGCAGGCAGTTGGAGTGTCCTTGCACCAACACTCATGGTAAGGAGGGAACAGATGCAGGAGTGGGCAAAGGGAGAACCCGACAGCTTCAGCCAACCCACAGGGTGCTCCAGAGCTGGATCTGTTCTTCACAGTGTCCTGGGTGGGGCCCCGAGGCTGGCCCTCCATCCTCCCAAGGCAGCTCTTGCAGGCAGCTCTGTTCAGCTGGGGCAGTTGCTGTCATAGAGTCCACCACAATTATTCAGGGTCTTTTGCATGTTGGGCACTGTTGTAGTTACTGGGAGTGTAGCAGTGAATGCGGTGAGGAGGTGAGGGGGAGAGAACAAACATCAGGCAAAGCAGAAAAATAAACAGGGTTCGCTGAATGATGGCTAGGCCGGAGGATGAAGGCAGGATGGGAGTGAGGAAAACTTGGAAGAAAAAAGCAATCTCACCCTGGCAATTTGGTGGTGGGCAGCTGCTCCTTGCACTGGATTCCCTAGGAGCTGTGATCTGCTCCATCTCTTGGCCATAATTCTCCTCCTCTATGTAGGGGCAGCCCCCCTCCTGAGGGCAGCATTGGGACCCTCTGCTTTCTTTCTTTCTTTTTTTAATTCTTTATTGTTTAAAGTATTACATATGTCTCCTTATTTTCCAATTGATCTCTCCCTGGCTGTTCCCACCCCCCCCAGAACATGCCCTAAACCCCCTACTGTCTGTGTCCATGGGTTATGCTTATATGCATGCATACAAGTCCTTTGGTTGATCTCTTACCACCCGCCCCTCCCCCCCC